TACCTTACATTACGTCTAGGATCGTTCGGGAGAGTCTACTCGCGGCGGATATCTCGCGGCGAAAAGTTTATCGATAATTTAACGCACCGGCGCGGCGTGGTCTATTACGACGATGGGGTGTTAAGTAGCCGAGAGCGCGATATACCTGTACGCGACCGCGGTAACGAGACACCCATAAGTGTTTAAGTTACCGGTGCGCGTTGCGCATCCCGTAACGCGCGAATTATTGCGCGCGCGATTTCATGGACGAAAAACGCGAACACGGCCGAGACGCCGGATATCGTGTAATTGTGCAAAAATCGCTTCTGATACGTCCGCTGCCGTGCGCGTCTTCGGCTACATGTGTTAAAAAAGATAGGGGCACCTACTATCATTAATTTGCTAAATACTACTAATTGCCGCGTATCTTAAGACGCCCCGCGACTGTTACTACCGTGAGAATTTAATTAGCGACATACACACACCTTTTTTCTTATTGTTTGCGACATTCGGATTACTAGCGCATCTTTGTGAAGTACGGAAAACGTAACGATCAATGAAATCAAGGGAGAGTTGATTAGAGTCGGAAAAGAATACGAGAAATACATACGCGGGCACGCATCTGTGAGTATATAATAATATACAAAAAAATGATTATCTCGTCGAGAGAGGCGATATCGAGTCGATACCAAAGTCCAATTAATTTCCTCCTTGCCGCACAGTAATCCCCACGTATACGTAATAACGTCTCCCGCAATATTCATCAGGCTGACCGGTAATCCCGTGGCGTTATTTCCTTCCCTGTTATCCGTGACCCGCGAAAAATCCCTATCCCGCCCGTTATTAGCAACAGAGAGAGAAAGAATGAGAAAGGGAGAGCGGGAGAGGGGAGGGGAACGAGAGAGTCAGGTTAGGGGGTGGGAAGAAAGGGAGCCACAAAGAATAGAGGCGGCCGCTTGATAGCGAGGCAACGGATACTTAAGCGTCTACGAGGGAGGGGCCCGTCGTCGTCGCAGGCAGGATATGCAGGAGAACCGATGTGAAGTGGGCACCCAACTTTTCAGTAACGCAAGATTTAACGCTAGTTCCATACGCAATCGCGATAGTTAAGAAGTAATTAAACAGAAAGATCGCGAGATTAAAAGAATCATTTAAAAATAATTAAAGGTCGAAACACTCTCGCAAAAATGTACAGGGGAGCTATAAAACTCTTCTAAAACAAAACTATTCCGAAGTTAAAGTAACTTTGAAGGTTCAGGTGCCACAGAAAACTGATCACATTTTCAGTGTCATTTTTCTAAATTAATTCGACGTAAACTTTAAATTCGACTTTAAATGTTGCAGAGATGAGGAATGAGGTGCCAACTTCACGCCGGCTATGCAAGAGATACGTGTCTATGCCAGGTAGACGAGGATCCAGTGGGAAGGGCAAGGAGAGACCGAAAGGGG